CATTGCTTCCTCAGCAATCATCCAATCAGACACTTGCCATAGGTATTAAAGCCAGTGCTTTCCTATGAGCACCATTTGGTCTCATGATAGAGTTTCACTCTGTTGTTTAGTGGCTGCCTGGAAGACAATCACTATAGGTATTTAGCCCTGCTATGTAGACATTGCAGTTTCTACAAAACTGCAGTGTTTTCCATCCAAGGGTTAAAACTACAGGGTTGCTGCACCCAGACCACATCACTGAGATGTAGTGGTCTGGGTGCATTTGGTAATCCTTTCATTTTAAAAATGTTAAGCTGTAAGTTTGGAGTTAAAAAAAAACAAAAAACTGCTGCCTCATTATAGAGATCTTTGTAATGAATGTCAATACAGCATCACATGGATTGCTGGTGCGGCAATAACACAAGTAAAGCTTTATAGCTGTACACTGTGCAATAGGTTCAGGGGTAAATAAGGCTCTAACCCTAAATATCCATAAAGTAACATTACAATCAAAGGTTTTTTGTTTTGTTTTTTAAATAGAGAGATACGCTATATATATATATATATATATATATATATATATATATATATATATATATATATATATATATATATAAAAATATCTTTTTTTTTTTTTTTATTAGATGGTTCCTACTCTGTAAGATTATTGCCTCCTCCTATTTGTTAAACAACATAAACTCACCCTTTTTTTTTCTAGTGTCAGAAGACTACCTAGCTATAGCTCTGATCAGCCTCCTGTTAAGTCATCCTTACGGATTACTTGTGTCCAATCAGATGCTTCCCAAAAAGACAGCATCAGGACCCATGCATAGGAAGTGCAACAATCCGTCAACAATGCTTTTACCTAAATAACCACTTTTATTTATAAAAAATTAAAATTATATAATTTTTTTTTTTTTTTTAAAGCCACATGGAGCATGCAGTTAAACACTAAAACACGGCAACAACTTAAAAGAGCCGCTAAAATAAATCTTCCTCTAACCTTACATTAACGTAATCCAAAAAGCAGTATTATAACCAGTGCAGCATTAATGGCTCTGTAATTACACTTATACTGTATATTCTTATAAAAGCAACTTCATTTCAGAAACACTGTAACAATAGTGGTGATTTGAAACGCACCATTCGAAATGCAACATTTTCAATGTTTGCACTGTAACGGTGCTTCGCATAACCACACATAGTGCTGAAAAAAGAACAAGAGGGGTGAGAGGGGACATCTGTGGGGGTCCTCACACTGAAGAAAAACAAACAAAGAATATTCATGGCTATGTAAACATGGATTTTAGATTACGTATCCATCAGCTTGGCATGAGAAGTCATCTGATAAAAGAAGATGGATCTGGAAGGATTACTAGGTTCTCTAAAGCTGGTGTGAAGGGCTGATGAGTATTTGCATAGTGTGTAAATATACACACACACATACATACACACACAAACACACACACACACAAACAAACCAAAAAAAACAAAAATGTAATATCCCTCCTCTGTTCTCTGTTCATTCATTCTATTGGTGTGATGATCCATGATATGTCTGGAAGACAGGGATAACCTTGGCTCTCCAGATGTGTAAGGACTACATTCCCCATGATGCTCCATGTGCATGCAGTAACATGTGGAGTGCCAGGTTTAGATGTAGGACAGACAATGGAGCTGGGAAGCCATGCAGGAATTAATGGGAGACCCAGATAGCATCCTACAGACCAGCAGCCCCCAGGACTGGGACACCATAACCACATCATGCCTGCCTCTGATAGCCAGAGGAGGGTGTGAGCGAATAAAACCAGATTTAAAGACACAGTAATCACCCAGCAGGCTCCCACGACTTACCTCCGGTCACCACACGCTGACAACCTGTCCTTCCCAGCCGGCAGGCGGCCGCTCTCTCTCTGCCTTCTACCGGGTGCGCCCTGTCACATGGAACTAGCAAACCCCGCCCTGAGCATGCCGGGAGTTGTAGTTCAGCTGTAAGGACGCAGACAGTCTTTTTTTTTTTTTTTTGGGAGCGTTGCATCATGGGATTGCTAATCCAATCAAGGAAAGGGTCTCTCAGGTGGTTTGGCGCAAAGGATGCTGGGAGCTCCGTAGGTGCAGTCACATTACCTCCCAAGTGTCCCTGTTTCAGAGGGACAGTCCCTAGTCTCAGGGCAAACCCCCCTCACAATAGGGACTGTCCTTATAAAATATTACATGTTTTACATGTTATGAGAGATGCTGTCATGCAGTATGTTTGATATATATATTCTTTATCCTATAAATAATGTTAATAAATGTTGCTGAAGCAGTAATTGAGATTGTCACTGTTATATTAAAAAAGTGTCAGTGTTATTCACTACATTCAGAATTTGAGGTGAATTCACAGTGAGTTTCAAATTTAAGGTCATAATATCCCGAAATGTAAGAAAAAAATTAAAATCTGTAACTCGTCTACTATGGCCTTAAATTTTAAATTCACTTTGAATTCTCGCTTTCGTGAATAATCCTATAAATGTAAATTGTAGTGAATGACCCTGAGATTGTTTACGATGTACAGATTATTCAATATGTGTAGATGTGTATGGGACTGAAAAGCAAATGAAGATTTGCGCTAAAACAACACATGTCAATATCATCTCTTAAAGTTGGTGCAGGATTTTCCATCGACCCACTTTAGTACTCCATCACATTCAGAGTAACACGATGTGGTTCCTGACAGCCAAAAATATGAAGATGGTAGCAATGAGCATACATATTAATACTGCCTTCTGCAGTGGTTATAGTGCCACTTGGATTTGTCTCACAGTAAGATTTAAACTGTTTTTAAAACTTACCTCTGTCTCCCAGATGACCACAGTTTGGCCTCTCTTCACAGATATTGCTAAAGAGGACTATCCCCTTTCACATAAGATGTATAAATGTGTCCCTATCAGGACAATGAATGACTTGAACAAGATTATTCTGCTAAGGCGGGAGGGACACTATCGCTTTTGTAACATCGATGAAAAGGAGCCGGACGCAGGCACCCAAATAACCCAGGTAAGTCAAACCATTTGAAAGTAGTTTGACTCTTGACAACAGTACAACTGACACCATACCAACTGCAGCCTATGCCCATCTCATATTCTTCGAGCTGTTTGTACTATGGGCAGAGAATGCCTTTGCATATGGACTGGTGCCACGTGGCGCTGGGCTAAGGGTTGCCAGATCTATCCTATTTTCATACCCATAAAATCACTTGCATTCCTACGTGGTTTTCTAAACTTCTTCCTTTCATATCAGCACAATTATCGAGGCGGCTAGGGTTAACCACCTTAATCACTACAGTCTGCTTTACTGGTTATGGTGCCAGGAATCCCTAGTGCCGTTCCACTATTAAGAGAAAAACTGTGTTCGAACACAGAATCCCCGTAGACACTTCATTAGAGATATCGCTAAAGCAGAAATTCCTCTTTTGTAATATCAGTTTTGTACAAATATGGGTGGTATTCTTTGTCTGAGGAAATTGCTTATGCAAAAAGCTAAATTGTGCTTTAGTGATATCTGCAAAGGGGGGCCAGAGCACGGACAGCTGGAGGACCCAGGTAAGTGTCAAACTGATTTAAAACGGTGGGACATTGCTAGGGGACTCCTGGTACAATATTCACTTAAGTGTGCAGTTTTGAGTGCACTTTTATGATTTTGAACATCTATTCCATTTAGCCAGTTGGAGTAGTACAACAAATAGTGGGCTCATGGTTGCCATCAGACATTTTGGAGCTCTTCACTACTACAGTTTTCTTAAAAGGAACAATCTGGGCATTATAACCACTTCACGTCTTTGCCTTGTTGCCACTCCACAATTCACTGTTGTGAGTTCCAACTGATCCTCTAGTTTGTAAGCTCATTTGAGCAGGGTCCTCAGCAACCTATTGTTCTTGTCAACATTTTTAAATGTTTGTTTTAATTGTTGTTAAAGTCCCCTTAAATGAACACTATAGTAATACAAATGTGTATTCCTGACACTGTAGTTCTCCCTCCCTTACCCCCAGTTAAATAGATGATTTTACTCACCTTTTTCTCACTGCACGGGTCTCCTCATGGCTGTCCCCACCCTCACTCCTCCCCCTTGGCGGAGATCAAACTTGATGCTCTCAGCCAATCCAATGCTTTCCCATAGAAAAGCTTTGGGAGGCTATCACCAATCAGCATCTCTTCATAGAATCAAACAGACAAGTTATTGGCTATACCTCACTGATGATGCCTAACAAGGTTGAAACGATCATCTGGGGTTACTGTATCTCTCGTGCAGACAGAGCCGGCCTGTATTTTGGATCTGTTCTGCCCTTTTTGGTGGAATCAGTCTGAGATGCATGGCCTGGTTCTCTCTGTAATGGCACAAGATGAGCTTAAACCAGCTTGAGAACTGAGCGGGGACCCACCAAAGGGCAGGCTAATTGAGCTGTTGTCCGTTCTCAGCACCCACTTGTGACTTGTTTTTTGCTCTCTTCATAGAATGCTTTATGGGGAGCGTTCAGCATCTCCATGAACGTCAGTGCTGCACAGTGTACAGCACTCACCCAGGAACACCTCTAGTGGCAGTCTGAGTGAAAGCCACTAGAGGTGTCCCTAGGCAGTATTGCCTTTTCCCTGATTGGCTTAAAGCGGTCAGCTGACTCTCTAAGCCAATCAGTAGCTCTCCATTGATGAAAAGGTAAATTTCTTTTTTAATTAATCATTGAGGAGCTGCTGATTGGCTTAGTGCGTCAGCTGACTGTTCAAAGCCAATCAGTGGAGCCCCTGCCTGGAGGCACTCTGCACTTCCTGAAACTGAAATTCAGAAGCAGGATGTCGCCTGGAGGACCTGCAGATCGAAGCTGGATGCACACTTTGGGATTAATCCAATTGATAACGGTTTAACCACTTAAGGTAAGAGTGCGCCTGGGGGGTCTCCTTGCACCATAACAACTTTGTTTAGCTTACGTTACGAGCAGTGTCCCTTTAATTTTTGTGAAATGAACATCCACACTGCATATTTCATAGGCTCTGTGGCACAATGGAGCATTTCAGAGTTATAGAAAGCTGACAGCATTTGATGGTTGTGGGTTCAAGTCCCACCAGAGTTATACACTGCTCAAAAAAATAAAGGGAACACTTAAACAGCACAATGTTACTCCAAGTCAATCACACATCAAACTGTCCACTTAGGAAGCAACACTGAGTGACAATCAATTTCACATGCTGTTGTGCAAATGGGATAGACAACAGGTGGAAATTATAATTGGCAATTGGCAAGACACCCCCAATAAAGGAGTGGTTCTGCAGGTGGTGACCACAGACCACTATTCAGTTCCTATGCTTCCTGGCTGATGTTTTGGTTACTTTTGAATGCTGGCGGTGCTTTCACTCTAGTGGTAGCATGAGACGGAGTCTACAACCCACACAAGTGGCTCAGGTAGTGCAGCTCATCCAGGATGGCACATAAATGCCAGCTGTGGCAAGAAGGTTTGCTGTGTCTGTCAGCGTAGTGTCCAGAGCATGGAGGCGCCACCAGGAGACAGGCCAGTACATCAGGAGACGTGGAGGAGGCCGTAGGAGGGCAACAACCCGGCAGCAGGACCGCTACCTCTGCCTTTGTGCAAGGAGGAACAGGAAGAGCGCTGCCAGAGCCCTGCAAAATTACCTCCAGCAGGCCACAAATGTGCATGTGTCTGCTCAAATGGTCAGAAACAGACTCCATGAGGGCCCGATGTCCACAGGTGGGGGTTGTGCTTACAGCCCAACACTGTGCAGGACGTTTGGCATTTGCCAGAGAACACCAAGATTGGCAAATTCGCCACTGGCGCCCTGTGCTCTTCACAGATGAAAGCAGGTTCACACTGAGCACAAGTGACAGGCGTGACAGAGTCTGGAGACGCCATGGAGAACGTTCTGCTGCCTGCAACATCCTCCAGCATGACCAGTTTGGCAGTGGGTCAGTAATGGTGTGGGGTGGCATTTCTTTTGGGGGGGCCGCACAGCCCTCCATGTGCTCGCCAGAGGTAGCCTCACTGCCATTAGGTACTGAGATGAGATCCTCAGACCTCTTGTGAGACCATATGCTGGTGCGACTGGCCCTGGGTTCCTCCTAATGCAAGACAATGCTAGATCTCATGTGGCTGTGCTATGGACTGGCCCGCCCGTTCCCCAGACCTGAATTCATCTGGGACCAGTGGCGTCGCTAGGGGGGGGCCAGAGGGGGCCATGGCCCCCCCTACATCATGCTGGGCCCCCCCAAATGCCGGCAACGTGCTGGCCATGGGCTTCCCTCGGACTGTAACAGCCTGTTACAGCCGGGGAGGGAAAGCAGTGCTGAGGTGCTGGGGGCTGTCTGTGGCTGGAGGGAGCACTGATTGGCTCCCCGGCACAGGCTCCGCCCCCAAACGAAGCCCCGCCTCCCGCTGATAAGCCCCGCCCCCGCCGTAATGCAGCAGCCCATGCTGCTTCAGAAGATGGCTGCCTGACCCCCAGTGACAGGTAGGCTGGGGGGGTGTACACACACACATTGCCCCCCATACACACACACTGCCCCCATACACACACATTGACCCCCATACTGCCCCCCATATACACACATTGACCCCCATACTGCCCCCCCATACACACACACTGCCCACCATACACACACATTG